GAGCATCGCTACCTAATGTATGCAGTATATATTCACTGCCACGCTCTGATGGGCACTTGCCGTGGGAGCGTTTACTCGTACGATAGCTGCTGTAAAATAATACAGCCTCAGCCTCACAGAAACAAAACACATACACACACGCACACACACACACACACACACACACACACACACACACACACAAACGCTGGCATGAATTCCATTAGTGTGATTTACAGTTGATGTTTAGTGGTACAGAGCTGGAGGGAAGCCTTTTACTTTCTCATTTGGAGCAGCGAGCAGGCCTCCTCTGTCTGTGGATAGATAGGAAGATGGATAGTGCGGTAGGCCAGGAACACCAAAGAACATCCTCCAAATACACAAACAGCGAGGGACAATCAGTGACAGCAAACAAACACACACACACACACACACACACACACAGACACACACACACCGGAACAGAAACAGAGAAAGATGGGTAGAGAGACAAATATAGAGAGAAAGCAAGAAACCGACAGAGAGTCAGGGGGAGTGTTCTCTGTGGACTCAGCTGTGTGGTGGCTGCTCTCCGGCTGCCTGGAAGATTCATTAGGCACATTTAACACTTTCTGATTTTATTTCTACTCCTCTATGGCAAGATTTCTTTTTGATGAAGGACAATGACATGCAAGTCCCCGAGTTGCTGATATACAGCGTAAGCCAAGGAAACCATAATCACCTCCCACATTAGTCTTTAAACCACCTGAAGTTTGTGCAATGGCTCAAACTCTCAGAAGCATTTTGTGGTGCAGCAGTAGCAGAGACGTGAAGAGGCAGCCAGCCTCCTCTCTGCTTATCACTGACGGCTTTCTGACATAGTAAAGTGTCTGCAGGAAGATAGCAGATACAGTCTGATTTTCCATGACTATGACAGCTGGAGAGGCTTCTCATATATCCCACACACACTGCAGCACTGCGCTCTCATAGGTCATTATGAACTCTATCTACTAGAAAACATCACATATATATTGAAATATCCCAGTGCATTCCACAATCTCTGTGTTTGAAGGACGTCAGCGTCTCTTTTGCACCTGTAGTTCGGGTCATTTGGTCCAGACGAAGAGGAAAATTGTTTCCCTTTTTAGTTCTGGTCCATTTCGTTTTTGCAGTGACGTGTTACAAAGAGCTGGACTGATAAGTAGAGTTGTTCCAATTCTGACACTAGTATCAGAAATGCCTCTGATACTGTATAAAATACTATAGCAGGAAGTGGCAAGTACCCTGGCCTACAAGAGTGTGTCTGTTATAACCGCCTAGTCTTTATGGCACTGAGTCACATGATGCTACTCAGCCAGTCACTGTGACTTGAGTCAATGAGTGAGATAAACACAGGGGAGATAAGAGATAGAAATAAGTGAGATAGCCTCAGCATATTACGACAGCTCGTAGTAGTAGTATATAACAGCTTTAAATTCTTTTCCCAAATGTTGTCAAGTATGAAAAGAACACCGAACAAAAATATCAATACAACACTTTTTTGAATACAACACGTTTTTGCTTCAATTTTTCATGAGTTGAAATTAAAGATCTAAGACTTTTTCTAACCACACTAAAGACTTATTTCTCTTAGAGCTTCACATACATGTGTTTAAATCTGTGTTAGTGAGCACTTCTCCTTTTTCAAGATCATCCGTCCACCTCACAGGTGTGTCATATCAAGATGCTGATTACACAGCATGATTACTGCACAGGTGTGCCTTGGGCTGGTCACAATAAAAGGCTGTGACTTCAGATGTAGTTGTTTTCTTTTTTTATATATATATAATATATCAAATATATAATATAGAGATTAGATAGAGATAGATTTAGATAAGATATCAGTTAATGTATAGAAAACCAATACAATAACCAAACTGCATGACATTCATTAGACCCATGTCCTTTATATCAGAGGTTGTTCACAGTGACTGGACAAATTGTGTCTAACTCTTATGTGTGCATCTGAGAGTGAGATGCCTAGAAGGTACAAATAATGTTAAAAGAATGAGTAACAGACACCTACAGTACATATCTGCCCCCCCCCCCCTATTCTTCTTTGACACACACACAGACATACACACACACATGCACCAGCTCAGCCCCCAGCCCCCAGCCCACACCACCAACACCTCAAATTAATAGGGTTTGGTTCATTTGAGTGTTGTGACCTACGGCTATATTCAATACAACCGTACAGGTTTCATTCTCACTAATGAAGGGAAGGCTGTTCATTTCAAGGTGAGTCAAATAATAAAAAAAAAAAATATTAAAAAACATGTTGGGTGTTGAAAAATAAATTACTCAGAGAGCTATTAAATTGTCAAGGCCAGAGGCATTCTTACAGGATTTCTTTTGGTGTTGCTGCTGTGCCACCAAAAACACTTTACAGGGGGAGAGTTTATTATTATTATCTGAATGTTATTGCTTGACCTAAAGTGAAACTTTATATTGAAAAGAGGAGTTAAAAGCAAACACTTTTAATTGTTCTTAACCAAAGTAAACTTGGGAGAAACGTGGGCCGCTGTGGGTGGAGCCGAGCCGAGGAAGCATTTTAACTGACCATCATCCTAATCTTCCCTGCAGTGGCTGATGCAGTTCAGACCACAGAGCGCAAGTGGGATCTCATCTAATGTCCCATTAGCCGAGTCACTGTCCTGTTATGAAGAGGATTTCCTTCCTCTTAAACAAAAATATTCTGACTCTTCAGCCTTTATTCAAAACTCCGTCTGCTTTGTCACACGCGTAAAAAAAACGTCTCAGTTGCGCTGACTCAGCGTTCCACTGAAGCACACAAGATCACCATCATAGCGGCTGGGTGTGAGATAATCCCCATTCTTATGGAATCAGTTTCTCCGAGACTGGATGGCTTTTTCTAATTATAAGTTCAGCCGATTGTTAATTCTAGACCTGTCTGTATCTTTCACCAATGTATAAATGAAGAAGTCATTTGTAGTCGGACTCCTGACATAACGCCATGACCAAAATGTCCAAAGTCTGTCTGCAGCTCTCTATTACCTGGAAATAATAGAGAGGAGCAGACAATTTTGAATTCTGGTTGTGAGTAACTGCCACCGACACGTTGGAGTTACACCCCCAGCTCCATTCTGATTCCACTGCAGTCTCTTGCTGGTATCACTAACCCTTTGCTCACCATTATGCTCTAGCTATGGTGTACCATTAGGTGCAGATTATGGTGGGGTAACCCTAACCCCATATTTAGTACTGGAAATCTGAATATTTCATATATATACATATGTGTGTGTGTGTGTGTGTGTGTGTGTGTGTTCTGGGCCTGGTCCACAAGTTATGTTATAGTAATATTGTCTCATTCTTTAACTGACTGTAATAACCATCTTTACACAGGCTACACTATTCTGTACTGCTTTGCTGACTGGTACTTAATTCAAGCAATATTGTTAAGTTCATGCTTTTTTTCTAGAGCACCAGATATTGATTTTACACCTATCCACACTAAGTGGCAGCGATATGAGTACAAATATCTCATCACCAAACTGTGGCCAAAGCTCTGTGACAGAGCACTACCCTCCTTTAAAGGAAAAAAAGTAGTGATCGTATCATTGCAGGCAGAAATCAGTGCCCACAGTCAACCCTGCCTCCTAAAAATGACAACAACAGCAAATACACTTTATACCAAATGTAGTGGCGAGTGGATCACATTTTCTACTAACATAACGAGGATACTTTGTTGAGTTACGTATTTGCAATTTGCAAGTTGCAAAAATGTTGAGACATATTTAATGATCTGACAGTATCTGCCTGTAGTGACTCCAGCATTATTAAACTGCTCTGCTCTCGGTTCAGGTCAGGGAAAGATCCTGGTCTGGTTTAATACAGAAAAAGTTTAGAGTGACTTCAGAACCAACGTGTCCTAAACAAAAACCACCATCTTTCCTGAACCTTACCCAAAGTGCTTTTGTTGCTAAACCAAAGATGGGACTCTGGATGTGAACCTGGTCTCTGGTGTGACCGCTGTGCGATGTGTACGCCCACCATCTCCCAAAACGTCCTGCTGCTGTTAATAACAGTAGTGTTTAATTCATTACAAAATGTGTTGCCTCTTAACAAAATTCAGCCGGTGGTCACGTTTCCTACAAAACATATTTGCTGTTGCAGTTTAGTTTCTAGGAGACAGGGTTGCCATAGGTCACTCGGACATGGATAGTATCCAAAAGGAAGTGGGCAGCTACAGTGGTGAATTACATTCAGAACTGGCGGTTTCCATGTGGTTAGGTTTAGGCTACGTAAGCACTTCAATTGAGATTAGGGAAGGACTCATATCACCTTTGACCCTTACGGTGTTTAGTGCTTTGAGTTCTCTCAACTAAGCATCAGACCCCTTGATATATGCTTTAGTTGTTACAAGTGGATTTTTAAAAACAGACTGTGAATGTTTTGCCAGTTGGCAGATATACATTCATTAAAAACGTTTCCTTGTTTTGTTAATAAAAATAGAAATATGTTTCTTTCTGAACATATTCACTATTGGACATTAGTATTCAAAGGAAGAAAGCTCTGTAGCTTTTCAGAGTGGGAACCCCCTGCAGGCCTCAGACACACTGCAGTTATAAACCTTAGATCCGGAGGGAAATCTGTTGGATTGCAGGAAGTGGATTCTGTTTGTGAAGCAGAAATGGATCCAACGATTTCAAACAGCAGCAGATGGTAGAAGCAGAGCTCCAAAATGTTCCAACATGTAAAGCCACCTTCTGAGTAAACATGAACAAAAGCTCTCTGTTGACACTGAGTTATTTACCACTAAGTGGTATTCATTTACATCAGTTATCCCACTATAAAAGCACAATTCATTTCATAACAGCAGTGTAATGTGAGAGTTGCAACAGACACCTGGTATCGTTAGAGCAAAGCAACATGGAGGATCATGGTTCAGCTCTCACTCCATCCCTGTGATTTAAATCCAGGCTGAGAGAAGTTGTGGAAGTAGAAGAGAAAACAAACAACAGTAAATGTTGCCTACTTACGTTAGGATGTCGGCGAGGTGGATGAGGCGCCTGGATGTGTCCTCAGTTATATGCGACACTGTGGACAAACACAAAGACACAAATTTAAAGGTAGTTCAACACCAAGACAATAGGAAAAAAAAAAAAGTGTTTTCTTGGTCTGTGAGATTGACTGTGTGCTTTGTGGACACTTGTATTTGCTATAGAGATTGTGTACATTTACTGCGTGTTTGTCTGCATTGTGTGCACTGTATATAAGCTATTGTGTATTCCTGTATACATAACAATGTTCTGACGACTCCTTGTTTGAACGGCAGAAGCATTATCCTTTTCTCCTCCTACTTCTACTCCCCTCCAACCCACGCTCCCCTGCCCCAGTAGAAGATCTCCTGTTAGCAGACAGACGTTTGGCCTTTATTATTTTATAATTACCCAGTAAGTCTGTGGTTCCCAGCATGGGGATAAAGTCTCAGTCTTTCTCTTCTTCCCTTCCCCCATCTCACCCTTTATTTCTTTGATGGCAGGACGGTGAGAGATTCTCCTACATGTATGTGTGAGGACTGTAGAGAGAGAGAGAAATGAGTGTGTACTGGCTAGAAGTGGAAATTAAAAATCACCGCTCAGTAAAATATTCAGTTCAGCACCTCCTTAATTTTTCTTTTCTTTTTTTCTTTTTTCTTTTTTACATCAATGTTCAAATGCACAGTACAGTAGGTCAGTATGCTGTGACATCACAGCTTTGCCTCTGACTGTCTTCAGTTCAATCCTGGATTCAGTTTTTATAGTCATTAGCACAATAAACACATATCTGCAACATCATTTGGATTGTTTATGATTTTTGCCTCTTTCATTGAGCTTTTAATCTGAAAATACGCCAAAAGCTAAGTCAATGTCAGTGACACTGATAATGACTGTGGTGGCTTTGAAGATTTGCAGTTTGAGGTCTGTTCATTTATAAACAAAACACAAACAACATTAAAGATCCCATATTGTATAAAGTGAGATTTCCATATCTTTTTTGATTATAGATCAGTTCTAGGTTCTATATTCATACTGTGAAAGTATCAAAACCTCAGTCCACAGAGAAATGCACACAGCCTGTATTCAGAAACTGAGCCTTAGAACCAGCCGTCAGGACTTCTGGACCTTAGTGATGTCACAACAAAGCAGTCCCAGGCCCACCATCCAATCTTGCAGGATTTGGTTTCTCTGAGTGTTTACCTGAAATCTGTTTTTTGTTATTTTTTATTGGATCACTCAGAAAACAGTCAGCCAATTGGAAGAGAGATTCATAGCTTCCTCTTTTCTGATCGGCTCACTGACCTGTTGTTACTAGAGCTCCAGAGAGAAGCCTGAGAGAGGAGATGTAGAACTACATTGAGACCGTTTTCATACTTATACTACTACTAACCACAAATATATCTTCTTATGGATCAACATTTTAAATAAAACACAGGAGAAGAAGAAAATATGGAGCTTTAACATTTGAGAACTTTGGCTTCTTTAGGGAAATGGTTCATACAGACCTGCGGATAGTAAAATCTGATGCAAAGTGTGGCTTTCTCGAAGAGATTCAAACAGAGAGAGAACAGCCACACATACAGCAACACGATGCTTCGACATTAACAAGCAGCTGCAGCAGAAAAGCAGGCTAAACCATGTCATATTTTCTGCACTTCACAGTTCACACTCTCGTCTGCCTCCTGTGATGATGATTACACACTGTGTGATCACAGCTGATTGAGTCCGCTTGGTTCTGCTCAGGTATTAGACCCATGGCCAGAAAACGGGACCTCACCTGACCCAGTCAGACTTGGGGCCTGGGTCAGAACGTGGTTTCTAGAAACTGAATGGACCCATCCCAGATAGTGAAATGAAACTTCTGGCCCAACCTATGCCTGGGTCCTCGGCTTGAGTCTGGCCCATACACTTCTACATCTGGCCAAATTCCAGCTGTTATCCTGACAGAAGACAGAATATTTTCTCTGTGTGTGCCAAAATTAGACCAGATGTGGAAGTATCATTTGACAATCATGATGTATATGGGACAGATTTGGGCCATGGAACTGGGTGTATTCTGGGCCAGAAGAAAACAAGCATGTGGCCCAAGTATGGGCCGGATTTATTTTACTATCTGGGCTGAAGATCATTAATTTGCTCTTAGGACTTTGTCATGCTGGCCTGAGCACATCAGTTGATTATGAGTAATTGCCATGGCTTGCTTTCAGCCTGGGTTTTTTTAATTGAGAGTTTTTAGATCCATAACAAATGAAGAGATGAAATGGGTAAACATCAGTACCATACAAAAATATGATTAAACACAACCTCAAACAACACAAACACTCGACTTGTCAGTCAAACTGAAACACTGTCAGATCCTCATAACATTTGTGTGCAGCTCTCATGGCTGCTACACTTGAAACTGTAGTTGCGTCTATACATAGATGGATCAGTGTGGAACCAGCCAGCAGGCCAGACAGATGGCGTTTCATGGCAAAACAATTTCCACTAAACAGATACAGACAGCCACCCCGACGGCTGGCAGCCGCTCGCTCTCTCCCCTGCTCTTCCTTTAACCTGGGCAATTAAAACGTTTCTCCCTCAATAACAGGGGAGAGGAGAGGAAAATACTGTAGATGCAACTCTCTCTGGTTAAACATATCATGCCAAACTGCGTTTCCATGGTAACTGTGGACCACAGAGGCAGTAAAGAGAAAAAAAAGGAAGTTAGCTCAGGAAAAACACACACGATGCTGCGGGGACAGACCTCTGGGACTGTCCTTATTTCCACTCTGACCACTGTTGCCTTCCAAAGTTTGTCTGCATATGTGTGTGTTTTCACTGGTGAGATGTGTGTGTGGTGGGTGGGTGTGTGTATGTGTGTGTGTGTCCCTCAGGCATTACATTCACAGAGGTCAATGACCTAAGGAGAATCAGAAACAACAAACAAACATGCAGAACAGCAAACAGACTACGACACAAACCTCCAGATTCCATCACATGGAACAAACTACCATGGGCCTTTGTCTATGTGTACATATATATATAGGCTATATCATATCATATGAGCATGTGTTGGTATTCCATACAGCTACATAAACAGCAGGTCCCTATGGAATAGGCACAGGCTGCTCTTTATTTGTCATTGACAGAGAGCAGCACAGTAAACAGACTGATGCTCAGGCTGATTCAGTGGAGACTGCATCAGTGTAAACATCTCCACAGGCTCATGCTGGGCTCATTGTGCAGGCAGCGCTGCATATTTTATTTGCCTTGGTCTTTGTTGTTAATTAAGCTTTTGATTGGTGCTTCTAATTGGTATTGTCCGTCTTTCAGATCTCCTCTGTTTTCTGCCTCCTATCTTCCTATCTTTCCTGTCTCGTCTCTGTTTTAAATCTGATCTCGTTTGGTTTTATCTACAAATCCAGTCGGACTCATCACTTTTTATACACCTTATCCAAATGGCAGCAACAGGTAACTTCCTGGAAAAAAACTAAACTTGAGTTCTCAAACTCTGGAAAACAACATTACCAAACTGTTATACACCTCTTTTATGAAATGTTTTATTCTTGTTTTATTAAGTCTATTCAAATGTTTTAATTTCTGTGTTGGTTTGGGTCACTTACTCTGAAAGACACAAACAGGTTGGAAGGTATAATGCTGTAAAATCAGACTAATCTTAAGGAGCCCTTGGTATTGTGCAGAGCCAGAGCCATAAAAAAGGCCCAGTCAGTCCTGGCTGACTGTAGTCACCCCCCCCCCGCTCAGTGAGTAGAAGTTCCTCCCATCTGGTCGCAGATAAATAATGTCTAAATCCAGGACCAATAGACTCAAAAAAGTCAATTGTCGCTGCTACCACTGGTTTTTGAACAGTTCTTATGTAACTCCTTGTCTCTTGTGTAAATTTTTTGAGCGTAGGTTGATGTGTATGTGATTACTGTATTTATTTACAGCTGACTGTGCAACAAATTGCCCCGTGGGGATAATGAAGATTACCTTGAACCTTGAATCTCGAATGTTTAGCGATACAGAAGGCAACAAAAATGGATGCAAAATAAAATTTGAAAAATTTAAATGAACAAATATATAAGGCGCTTGTCTGGACAGTATGGGAGACAGTATGACTTTTATATTGAAAGGGCCATACCGATAGTGTTACTGTACCCCCCCAAAATTATTGACCAATCCTAAGCAGCCCTCCCCAAGTTATAGGCTGTCAGACAAACAGTAGTTACTGCAACAGAAAACATGTCCTCTAGTGTTACCTATAGATGTAGGTGTTGTTAGTAATGATGCTGATGCAGATGGCCCCGCCCACCCTGAGTCCGGTTCTGCTCGAGGTTTCTGCCTCTTAAAAGGAAGTCTTTCCTTGCCACTGTCGCCTAGTGCTGCTCTTGGTGGGAATTGTTGGGTCTCTGAATAATATTATAAAGAGAAGGTCTGGACCTGCTCTATTTGGAAAGTGCCTTGAGATAACTTCTGTTGTGAATTGGCGCTATACAAATAAAAATAGACTTGACTTGACATTTCAAGCTATGATGAGCTATGATGTCTTCCACACAGCTGATAAAGTCTGCTTAACTTGATTTGTTTTAGACTTCGGAAATGAAATGAGAACAACAGTTATATATTGTATTGCTCTGGCATGTCTTTGGACCACCTACACATTGTCCTTGTAGACTGTAGCCTACAGTGTAAATGTAGGCACTGAGCAGCTGAACCACTACAGTGGAAAGATGGCAGAGTTTGTATTTAGCTTTGATTGGTTAACTGAAGGAGGTGTCTAGGATCAGTCATTTGCTAGAATCTGGGATCACAAAAATATTGCTACAACAAATGCTGTGTCTGCACAGGAGGCGTAGAGTGAGCAGCACGTTAGCAGAGCAGCAGCAGCCTTCACAGGATGCATTCAAACACTGTGGGTCACCCACGTTTTGTCAATACACAATCACTGCAGTTAGGTAAAATGCAAGCTGTTACACAGCCTGTGTCGACAGCTCAATTGTTTAAAATGGAAGCAAATCTGTTCGTGCACATGCACTAACACGTAACACCCTCCCATTCAGAGGGGCGTGACTC